CTCTCTCTCCTCTGCCACTCTTCTCTCTCTCTCTCTGCCCTCCTCTCTCTCTCTCCCCCCTCCCCTCTCTCTCTCTCTCTCTCTCTCTCTCTCTCTCTCTCTCAGAGAAAGAATTGAGATCCATTGTTACAGATACTAGTATCTATGCGACCGAGGAGTTTGTAACTCCTTGGTGAGACAGAGGTCACGTCCTATCGGGTCAAAACCAAGGACGCACTTTCAATTAATCACCGACATAGACTGAGGTTGACCACGAGCTGACGTCAGCAGGGATTCACTCCGATAACGTACCTGGATTCAGGACAAGTAATTAAGTGCAACGCACGTAACATTGCAAAACCTTGGGAATTTTGGTCAGAATGGATAAATTGATCCCCATATCAGAACTGAGCAACAGCATCCATCACTCGTGCCGGGTACAGTACAATGTGCAGCACGTATGGGGGGGGGGGGGGGGAAGGAGAGGGTTGGAAGTGTGACAGAAATAGGGACTGTTTACTACACTACACTCCATACAAGGGATTCGTCAAGCCACTTAAGTACATATTGAGAGGCGTGCATTGCCTCAGGATTGTCCATTTAAAATTAAGGTTAGGGTTTAACTGCCAAGTACATTGATAGGCCCTGCATAGCATATTGAAAACAAGGGCTGAAGTGTGTGGGAATGGAGGGACAAGGCAGAAATAAGCCTCCGAATATGATGAGCATACTAGTGCTACATTTCAGTTTCACATTGAGTGTATGATTGCTTAGCTAAGTTTAGCAGACCTCTGACCCCCAGCTTCCCGCGATAATGACCACCCCCACCCATCTCCCGGCACCAAAGTTCAATGCTGTGTTTATCTTAATTTTCATTTCATTTCATGTTTGACTGTCTGGGCAATTTTCCTAATGAAGGTATTCGGTTACACATCCAATGTGATATTAAGAACCCTAACGTTATCATAAAGCGGACGCAAACTTCTACCGGTATCTCAGATCTTTGAGGATAGATTATAAAGACCAAGTTAATTTTTAATAATGATAAAACTGAGTTCCTTGTCATAAGTCAGCTAAAAAATAAAACAGTTTAAACTATTAATTAATTAATTTGAAGTGAACCCTTTAATTTGACGGCATAATTGCATATTGTTTTACAGCTTGTTTATATTACTACAATGTTTTAGCATTTCATCATTGTAAAGTTTACTGATCATTTAAGGATATTAGACAATGAATAAAAATGACTATTTTAGTCAAGTCAGGAAGTAGTACATATGAGAATATGTGCCATACACCAGTCTGCTTGCAGCAGTGTCCCATTAACATCGCGCAAATATTTTATTAACCCAACCTCGCATCAGCGTTACAGGTATTAACCGCGTGCTATTAAGGTTGTGGTCCAGGTCACTGACCGACATAGCCGTATAGTTTTACGTCAAAAACAAGGTGCTTGAAAGGCTATTTGAAATTTTTCTTCTGCACATCTTTCACCGATATTTTCAGAATGCAGTAAAAATAGAATGTACAGGTATATATCATTTGATAAAGTATATAAATGGTCGATTTTATTGAAATTAAAGTCATATAGTGAGTAACCTGCTTTCAACTCACCGAAGCTCTATCACGAGGAGAGCAGCAAGTTAGTCAGATGTCTTTACGCCAAAAGCCATGCATACTTTACATTTATATGTAAAAACTCGCATATACCGGATAACTAACCGAACACCAATCTTGACTTGAAATTTGAGTTTTGATCACATGCCGCTTTTTACTACCTAAAGCTTTGATCGCATTAACTTCGTTTCCAAACCCGTTAAAACGTTGGCCTCTTCTGTATAGATTATTTCAGATTTTGAATAAAAATCAAAATGGTTTTGTTATTACAGACCTCAACATTTCATATTCATATGTTGACAAGTGGTTCTAAGTGACCGTACACAAATACAGTGTATTGCACGGGTATATTGATACATTATTACAATTGCGTTTGATATAATTTACAATTTATAAAATATAAGAAAAAGTAAAAATAAATAAATAGAATAAAATAAAAAAAATAATAATAATGAAATGTGTATAGGAAATGAGAAATATATTTTGTACTCAAAAACGGTTATAACGTGTGTTAAAATAACATCATGTAGGGTTCTATTGTTGTGCCATTTATACCAAACTATTCGCTATTAGAGAATGTAAATATGTTTTAATATATATTTCTTACCATTTTCGTTTAGTTTTTAATTCTAAGGTTTCATTTTGTTCATTCATTACTTCTAATATAAAATGACAATGGTTTTATTCGATTTTTATATTGGTTTTTACTTCCTTAAACAGATAGTATTTATTTTCTATTGCGATTTGATTAAGATGAGTTATGTGTCATTTTGTGCTTTAAAAGTTTTAACTGACCTTCAACAAGAAGCCACCCATGCACTTAGAATGCGTTATTAATCCCACTTCGTGTGGCATTAAACTTAGTGGCTTTTTTAGTAAACATATGGATGGGTTTGAGAAAAAAATCAGGATGAGTTGAAAATGGGCTGATAATTGACACAATTTTAGATGAATTAATTCATAAGGATAGATAGAATAGCGCATTTATTATTTTTGTGGACATTTGAAATAACTCACAATGTAATTTGACTAAAGCAGTGTACAGTGTAGTAAAGTAAATCGCGCCCTGTGTATGTCATGTCACGTGAATAAAATATACAAGAATTTGATGAACATTCACTGGTAAGATAAAAAATGTTAAACAGTATTTTCCTCTCTTTGGTCACAGTTTTTTTAAACTAGACAATTAAAATTGTCCACTGTCATGTACATATTGATCAAATCTAAACACCCAGCGTTGTGATTATACGCATGATCGGCCCAGCTTGCTAATTGTCCACGTTTAATTGTACATAGCTGACATACTTAATTCCGTTTACCATGCCTCGTCTCCATAGAAATCACCATTGTGTTCTGGGTGGTCCTGTCATGGCATCTGTAGTCAAGACAGCCCATTGCAACCCGAAAGTTGAATAAGGGTGAATAAATGTGTCTTGATGAGGCTTTTTTGTTGTGATGTTGTTTTTGCTACATCATAAGAGTAACAAATGATTTTGTATTTGACAATAAGTGAATATATTAAAATTGATTTAACCCTCAAGAGACCAAGCTATTTTACTGACTGAAATGACCAAGTGGGGTCATCTATGACCCCATTGTGCTCTGTACAGGGATCCTTATTATAAAAGGCTGTTGAAGCTTTATCACACCCATACTACTCCCAGGATTTAAGACAAGTATTTTATAATGATCTAATGTAATAAGTATTTGGTAATAATACTTTTATTGCATGAAATAACCAAGCACAGATTTTAAGAACAACATTACACCGGTATTTAGACAGTCCTTGTCAGTTTCCACTTGCAGAAATATTTCTCTTTTCATTTGCCACACTAAATGAAAAAAGTACATTACCAAATTACCATGAGTAAAAATATTTTGATTTATGTTGAGATAGCATCCTGCTAATTTCAATAAGAATAATTAGCTGACTTGCTGAGTAGGGAATACCCTAATGCTGGTAAGGAAGTCATACTACTCAGAACACATTCAATCAAACTACATGTATGTTACTACCACAGCTGTGTATAAAACAAAATCCACACAAACAATTTGTTAATACATGTTTAATATGATATCGACAAAATTATTTAGATTTCCGAAATACCCGAAAATTGTAACCGTCAAAATGAGAGACCCAGTTATGATAACAAGTTCCAACAGAGCTACTGAAATTAGATTCAGCGATGCACTATTAGTAACACTTCAAGCACAATCTTCACAAACCACTTATTTGTGCCTATGTTTTGGGCACACTGGCTGGTTGCATGAAGCACATGCATGTGACATTTTCCTGTCAGTGTTGCTTGGGCAAAACATTTGAATAAAATTTAAAAACTAATATGTAAAACCAATGCTTCTCTTTGGGGTCATAAATGACCCCACAAGAGTTTTTGATGTATACGCCACACTAATTGGTTAATCCCTACAAAAAAACTGTGAAAGTGTGTAGGATTAGTAGACTGACAAACTCATGCAAGGAAAGAAAATCTGAATAAAAAATAAAGAGATGGCACATTAAATCATATGGCTGGGGTCGTAAATGACCCCACTCGGTCACTTGAGGGTTAATCATCGTATTATGCTTCTGTTTTGTCACTTATAACCCAGACAACATTGGTAAAATTTCTGGTCATAACGTCCCCCTCCGGAGCTGGAGGACGTGGGTTCGACCCCACCCGGGGAACATACCAGTCATTTATATACGATTACCTGCTGTCTCCCCGCCTGGCACTCAGCATTTAGGGGTTGAAGCAGGGGTAAAGTTCCTGGTCAGGCAGCGAAAGATCTGTTCGCTTGATAGCTTGCAGCGATCCATACAGCATGTTGGGCTGTACCCTCCCCATGGAGGCGAGAACATCAAAACCTAAACTGTACCAGGGCCAAAAATGCTTAGGCGTTAGTGAACCCCGCTGAGACGCATGCATACTGCGGTATATAAGAACAGAATTTTTACTTTTGTACTAGAATTCAAATTAATTTTTAAAAAAGTTCTTACTGTCACTGTGGCTCATATTTATCAAATGAACACTGACAGTTGGATTAGCTTAATTTAATATACTGTAATGATACTGATACCTAACATTTTGTCCTATTCACTGGTCCGTGATTACGGCGCTGTCCGCTAGATGGCATTGCGAACAGTGCATAGCTGGAAGGTGAACGGGCATTTCTTCTTGGAAAAAGCATTAAACTTGGGGACAGCTGCTTGACCAGTTGGACGCAAACATTTACACAAAGAAAGCGACGTTATCCCGCTATACCAATAAGACATTTGCCGAAATATTAATAAACGAAATGTCTCGGTTCGCGTTGGTCTCTTATCTTCCATGTTGGTTATTCGCGGAAAAATCAACATCTCTTTCGATAAGGTTTCACCTCCGAGGGGGAAGGGTATATTTAGCTGGGGGTGACCGAGGGGGGTTTGCATCCGAGCCGTTCGAAGTAATGGATTACGTGTTTATACTTATTCCTTTTTTATTTGCATTTGTACTCGAGCGATCGATTTTCCCTATAACGTCAATGGTGAGGAGTTGTTTTATAATGTAGTAATGTAAGTAAATAAATGATAGATTTCTTTTCCTATTTCATTGGACAAAAGAAACACAATGTTTTTCGAATCTTCGTGCCGGGTTGTGACCCTCCTCTCCACAGCGTTCCTTCACTCAGTGAAACACGAGGTAACATGTCATTAGTGTTAAGGATGTGAAATGATGCAGACGACATTTTTCTTGATCGTTGTTATTGCGCTATCTGGGCGGGCAGGTAAGCATAGTTTCATTCCAGGTCAACATACTGCGCGTTGCTCAACATTCTCAAAATTTAAGCATTTTACTCATACTTACTCGGCATCATTCTTATAGATAACACTTTTTTAACTCAAAAATATTTATAGAGTTTTAGAAATGGTTTGCTAAAGATCGATTTGCAGTTTGGAATGTAGTTTTTCATTTTGGGCTCAACTCATAAAATGAACTACAATAAACGTTAAAAAAAGATAAAGAAAGAAGTGCGGTAGATAGCATTTTCCTTTGTCAAAGGAAAATGTAGGCCTATTCCGTATTTCCTAGTGTCCCAGAGTAGCTTCCGGTGCCCGACGGGGAGATATATACCGTGGAGATATGTCTGCAATGGAAGGTGGGATTGCAGCGACGGGTCGGACGAAAGGAACTGCCCGACAACGTACAGACCAGGTATGATTAAATCATTTATATATTTTGCTGGCAGAAAATAGCCTTATATTTTTACTGTACAAAGCAGTGGCGGATTTAGATAGGCGTTAGGGGGTCCTGACACCCCTTTCGGTTTATGTCTTGAAAATACATTTTGACTAACTAAATCATAATTCTGAACTGTACCGCCACTGTTTGTTCTCCAAAACACCGGTTATTTTCTAGGTCCTTGAGCAAGCCCCGAACCCCACACCAAGGGGGCGATGGTCGGTTTTGCATCCGAGGCCTGTCGTTCCGTTCCGGACCCCCCTCCCCCCACTTCAAATAATCCTGGATCCACCCCTGCATAGCGTATTTGTTTTGATTGAATGAATCGATGTTGCTATAAGGAAACGCTCTATGTATAACTTTCGCTTGAATGAAATAGTATTGTAAATATTTGGAAAGTTGTGCTTACAAGAGCTCGCCTTTGATTTGTTTGTATGCAATATCTGGCCTTTTTTTATTTATTGTATTTTATGAATTTATTTATTTATTTATTTATTTATTTATTTATGTTTATAAAGTGTTTAACGAATAATGTACCGGTTTGTTCCTTGGCTGCACGTTTTAGAAGACTATCCTGTAAGCATATTTCCCTTTTGAGGTAATTCCAGGACAACCTATTTATAAGGCTGATGTAAATTAATTTGGTATATCTGTCTGGATAAAGTCAACCAACAATGATAAATCAATTTACTCACTACGTCAGAAATATTTCGCATAAACTAAGGAGCAATGTGTCATCCTTTAGTAGCCGTTGACCACGACAGTGTTTATCTGTTGTCACTCGATACTGTCGACTTCAACGTTTGCCTTATGATAAAAGTTTGTTTGCTAGATAAAAAGAACAAGATATGAACATAAGATATTGATTATAAATGTGCCGCCTATGTCATGACACGTGGTGATTAAATTATGTATGTAATTTCTCCTCGCACAAGTTAAGGTAATGAAGGTGGCATTCCAAATGTTTTAATTTAAAGGTTCATTACCTATTTTAATAACGAAATGTAAATTTGATGTTTTCCTCAGCCCTATTCAATAATGGGCCTGGATGAAATAATGGGGATGTTAAGGTCGCTCTATAATTCGATAGCTCAGATCATATCTTTGTTGAATCTTTTTCAATAATGTGCACTATTGTATTGTCTTTATGCACTAATTACGAATGTTTCACTTTGTCTTATAGAACACACCACAGAGACCAATGGAGCTACAACATATGGTAAGCTTGAGAGGAAGACGCTTCCTTCATCTCTTTCTCTCCGCCCCCCCTCTCTCTTTCTCTCTCTCTCTCTTTCTCACGCGCACGCACACACACATACACACATACTCACTCTCTCTCTCACACACAATACACATATACTCTCTCTTTGACTCTTTTTCTCTCTCTCTCACACTCTCTTTTTTTTCTCTCTAACACACACACACACACACACACACACACACACACACACTATCTCGCACTCTCCCTCGCAACAAAAACGTTTTGTATCTCACAAAGCAAACGTTTTCAAAAACATGTACCTTTATTTTACTTAAAAAGCACTTTTTATGTAGCTTGTGCCTTTTGCCAGCAATCTGCTTATACTCACGTATTGTTTGTTACATCTTGTATTGGGTATGACTTTGTTTTATGTTATATTGGGTATTAGGCTTGATATATGTTCTCCAATGAAATCACCGTTATTGAAAACATTTGGATTTCTGACAAACCGTGATTTTCCTAATTTGATGTCCACTCTTTGCTGTGACACCCAGTCTCTCCATTTCCCTATATCTCTAATATTTTATCTTTCAGATCCCTGCTACCGCAATCCGTGTCAGAACGGTGGAACATGTTACCCGAAGAGAACCTCGTACTGGCCGTACCAATACACAGAATACAGCTGTCAGTGTAACTCTTATCACTATGGACAGAAATGCCAGTATTATGGACGTAAGGAGAGCCTGAATATCACGATACTTATTTTAAGATATAAATCTTGAAAATTATTATCTGATTTGATATAATTCGATTTATAACGTGACTATATAATAAATACATTAAAAAAAATGTACAAGTTACCAGGGTATAGTCATTACTTTAGCTTTATCCTGTGTCTGTATAAAATACGTAAATCCTTGTTGTCTGCAGCACTACATTTTAACTGTAACAATGCACTGAACGATTCAAGTTGAATCTGTTCTTTTTTTATTCAGGACAAACCACTGAGAGACCCACGGTAGAAACAACTCAAAGTAGGTTTTATGGAAAACGTCATTTTATGTAACTTGGAAAAATAACGAAGTCGCATGCCCGGTTTAGGTACAGCAAGCGTCGATCGCAACATGATACAAGATGCTACATGCACAAGAACCTGCCCCAAATGACTACAGATACAATTAACAGCCGATGCATGCACTAAACATATCTGATACACGTGTAACAATAAATAATACATATAATTTTCCACCGTGGCAGTAATAAATGAACATGCTCGGTTGATAAATAGTGTATACAGTGTATTTATTAAATTTTCTCATGCCCTTACCGTATTTAGGCTGTCAAAATGGAGGATACTATGATTATTATAACGGTAGATGTCGCTGCCAAGCAGGCACGTGGGGCTATTATTGCCAATATGGAAGTGGTGAGTTGATTTGTGAAAATATTCTAGAGAACAATTTCATGGTGATGAGTGGTCCTTATCTCATTCCTTTCAATTTATTTCACTCTTACCCTTTCTAATGAATATAAATAAATATACAGGTACACATGTTAATAAATAATTCAGAGTACTTATTAAAATCAGCAGCACTTTTGTGGAATCCCACACCAGGGTGCAGGCGTGCACTGTATATCTCATAGACAACCGTATTCATTACACTTGATAGTACCGTATAAACCAGTGATTGAGACTTGACTAATTTTGATATGTTTTAGTGCAAACTACGGTGGAGACGACAAAAATGGCGACAACGTACGGTGAGCCTCTCTCTCTCTCTCTCTCTCCGTGCTTACCACGTTATGCTTTCAAGTCAAGAATCGACAGTCTCGATGAAATGCCAAGGTTTCTTGTGCACATGAAGATTAACTTTACCTGAAATATTAGAGTGATGCCTATTCATCTTTCATATTGGTGATTAACATTGCCTCTGACAAATTCTTGATGTTCACTGATAAATTAACGTATACTTTTTGCTGTGGTTTCCTATCTCTCCATTGCGTTTCAGATCCCTGCTACCGCAATCCGTGTCAGAACGGTGGAACGTGTTACCCGAAGAGAGCCTCGTACTGGCCGTACCAATACACAGACTACAGCTGTCAGTGTGACTCTTATCACTATGGACAGAAATGCCAGTATTATGGACGTAAGGATAGCCTGAATATCACGATACTTATTTTAAGATATAAATCTTGAAGATTATTATCTGATTTGATATAATTAGATTTATAACGTGACTATATAATAAATACATAAATAAAAAAAAAAAAAAAGTACAAGTTACCAGGGTATAGTCATTAGTTTAGCTTTATCCTGTGTCAGTAGAAAAAACGTAAATCCTTGTTGTCTGCAGCAGTAAATGTTTTACTATAACAATGCACTGAACGATTCAAGTTGAATCTGTTCTTTTTATTCAGGTCAAACCACTGAGAGACCCACGGTAGAAACAACTCAAAGTAGGTTTTATGGAAAACGCCCTTCTATGTAACTTGTAATTGAGTGAAAAGGCGCTTTTGGAGGATAAAAGCCGGTCTACTAACGTCGTTTGCTGATAGTTAATTGATTTTTTTCCAAATATTTCGAAAAATTACGAAGTCGCATGCCCGGTTTAGGTACAACAAGCGTCGATCGCAACATGATACAAGATGCTACATGCACAAGAACCTGCCCCCAATGACTACAGATACAATTAACAGCCGATGCATGCACTAAACATATCTGATACACGTGTAACAATAAATAATACATATAATTTTCCACCGTAGCAGTAATAAATGAACATGCTCGGTTGATAAATAGTGTATACAGTGTATTTATTCATTTTTATTATGCCATTACCGTATTTAGGCTGTCAAAATGGAGGATACTATGATTATTATAACGGTAGATGTCGCTGCCAAGCAGGCACGTGGGGCTATTATTGCCAATATGGAAGTGGTGAGTTGACTTGTGAAAATATTCTAGAGAACAATTTCATGGTGATGAGTGGTCCTTATCTCATTCCTTTCAATTTATTTCACTCTTACCCTTTCTAATGAATATAAATAAATATACAGGTACACATGTAAATAAATAATTCAGAGTACTTATTAAAAACAGCAGCACTTTTGTGGAATCCCACATCAGGGTGCAGGCATGCACTGTATATCTCATAGACAACCGTATACATCATTACACGTGATAGTACCGTATAAACCAGTGATTGAGACTTAACTAATTTTGATATGTTTTAGTGCAAACTACGGTGGAGACGACAAAAATGGCGACAACGTACGGTGAGCCTCTCTCTCTCCCTCTCTCTCTCTCTCTCTCTCCGTGCTTACCACGTTATGCTTTTAAGTCAAGAATCGACAGTCTAGATGAAATGCCAAGGTTTCTTGTGCACATGAAGATTAACTTTACCTGAAATATTAGAGTGATCCCTATTCATCTTTCATATTGGTGATTAACATTGCGTCTGGCAAATCGTGATGTTCACTGATAAATTAACTTATACTTTTTGCTGTGGTTTCCTATCTCTCCATTGCGTTTCAGATCCCTGCTACCGCAATCCGTGTCAGAACGGTGGAACGTGTTACCCGAAGAGAGCCTCGTACTGGCCGTACCAATACACAGAATACAGCTGTCAGTGTGACTCTTACCACTATGGACAGAAGTGCCAGTATTATGGACGTAAGGATAGCCTGAATATCACGATACTTATTTTAAGATATAAATCTTGAAGATTATTATCTGATTTGATATAATTAGATTTATAACGTGACTATATAATAAATACATAAATAAAATAAAAAAGTACAAGTTACCAGGGTATAGTCATTAGTTTAGCTTTATCCTGTGTCTGTAGAAAAAACGTAAATCCTTGTTGTCTGCAGCACTAAATGTTTTACTATTACAATGCACTGAACGATTCAAGTTGAATCTGTTCTTTTTATTCAGGTCAAACCACTGAGAGACCCACGGTAGAAACAACTCAAAGTAGGTTTTATGGAAAACGCCCTTCTATGTAACTTGTAATTGAGTGAAAAGGCGCTTTTGGAGGATAAAAGCCGGTCTACTAACGTCGTTTGCTGATAGTTAATTGATTTTTTTCCAAATATTTCGAAAAATTACGAATTCGCATGCCCGGTTTAGGTACAGCAAGCGTCGATCGCAACATGATACAAGATGCTACATGCACAAGAACCTGCCCCCAATGACTACAGATACAATTAACAGCCGATGCATGCACTAAACATATCTGTGACACGTGTGACAATAAAGAAAACATATAATTTTCCACCGTAGCAGTAATAAATGAACATGCTCGGTTGATAAATAGTGTATACAGTGTATTTATTCATTTTTATTATGCCATTACCGTATTTAGGCTGTCAAAATGGAGGATACTATGATTATTATAACGGTAGATGTCGCTGCCAAGCAGGCACGTGGGGCTATTATTGCCAATATGGAAGTGGTGAGTTGACTTGTGAAAATATTCTAGAGAACAATTTCATGGTGATGAGTGGTCCTTATCTCATTCCTTTCAATTTATTTCACTCTTACCCTTTCTAATGAATATAAATAAATATACAGGTACACATGTAAATAAATAATTCAGAGTACTTATTAAAAACAGCAGCACTTTTGTGGAATCCCACATCAGGGTGCAGGCATGCACTGTATATCTCATAGACAACCGTATACATCATTACACGTGATAGTACCGTATAAACCAGTGATTGAGACTTAACTAATTTTGATATGTTTTAGTGCAAACTACGGTGGAGACGACAAAAATGGCGACAACGTACGGTGAGCCCCTCTCTCTCTCTCTCTCTCTCTCTCTCTCTCTCTCTCCGTGCTTACCACGTTATGCTTTTAAGTCAAGAATCGACAGTCTCGATGAAATGCCAAGGTTTCTTGTGCACATGAAGATTATCTTTACCTAAAATGTTAGAGTGATGCCTATTCATCTTTCATATTGGTGATTAACATTGCCTCTGGCAAATCGTGATGTTCACTGATAAATTAACTTATACTTTTTGCTGTGGTTTCCTGTCTCTCCATTGCTTTTCAGATCCCTGCTACCGCAATCCGTGTCAGAACGGTGGAACGTGCTACCCGAAGAGAGCCTCGCACTGGCCGTACCAATACACAGAATACAGCTGTCAGTGTGACTCTTACCACTATGGACAGAAATGCCAGTATTATGGACGTAAGGAGAGAGTGAATAACACGATACTTATTTTAAGATATAAATCTTGAAAATTATTATCTGATTTGATATAATTAGATTTATAACGTGACTATATAATAAATACATAAATAAAATAAAAAAAGTACAAGTTACCAGGGTAAAGTCATTAGTTTAGCTTTATCCTGTGTCTGTATAAAACATGTAAATCCTTGTTGTCTGCAGCACTAAATGTTTTACTGTAACAATGCACTGAACGATTCAAGTTGAATCTGTTCTTTTTTTATTCAGGACAAACCACTGAGAGACCCACGGTAGAAACAACTCAAAGTAGGTTTTATGGAAAACGCCCTTCTATGTAACTTGTAATTGAGGAGAAAGTCGCTTTTGGGGGATAAAAGCTGGTTTACTAATGTCGTTTGCTGATAGTTAATTGTTTTTTCCCAAATATTTGGGAAAATTACGAAGTCGCATACCCGGTTTACGTACAACAAGCGTCGAGCACAACATAGTACAAGATGCTACATGCACATGAACCTGCCCCCAATGACTACAGATGCAATTAACAGCCGATGCATGCACTAAACATATCTGATACACGTGTAACAGTAAAGAAAAAATATAATTTTCCACCGTAGCAGTAAAAAATGAACATGCTCGGTTGATAAATAGTGTATACAGTGTATTTATTCAATTTTCTCATGCCCTTACCGTATTTAGGCTGTCAAAATGGAGGATACTATGATTATTATAACGGTAGATGTCGCTGCCAAGCAGGCACGTGGGGCTATTATTGCCAATATGGAAGTGGTGAGTTGATTTGTAAAAATATTCTAGAGAACAATTTCATGGTGATGAGTGGTCCTTATCTCATTCCTTTCAATTTATTTCACTCTTACCCTTTCTAATGAATATAAATAAATATACAGGTACACATGTAAATAAATAATTCAGAGTACTTATTAAAATCAGCAGCACTTTTGTGGAATCCCACATCAGGGTGCAGGCATGCACTGTATATCTCATAGACAACCGTATACATCATTACACGTGATAGTACCGTATAAACCAGTGATTGAGACTTAACTAATTTTGATATGTTTTAGTGCAAACTACGGTGGAGACGACAAAAATGGCGACAACGTACGGTGAGCCTCTCTTTCTCTCTCTCTCTCAATCTCCGTGCTTACCACGTTATGCTTTTAAGTCAAGAATCGACAGTCTCGATGAAATGCCAAGGTTTCTTGTGCACCTGAAGATTAACTTTACCTGAAATATTAGAGTGATGCCTATTCATCTTTCAGATTGGTGATTAACATTGCCTCTGGCAAATCGTGATGTTCACTGATAAATTAGCTTATACTTTTTGCTGTGGTTTCCTATCTCTCCATTGCGTTTCAGATCCCTGCTACCGCAATCCGTGTCAGAACGGTGGAACGTGTTACCCGAAGAGAGCCTCGTACTGGCCGTACCAATACACAGAATACAGCTGTCAGTGTGACTCTTACCACTATGGACAGAAATGCCAGTATTATGGACGTAAGGAGAGAGTGAATAACACGATACTTGTTTTAAGCTATAAATCTTGAAAATCATTATTCGGTTCAATGTAATCAGATTAATAACGTGACTACCTGTATATATGAATATAAATAAATAAAATGAAGACAAACAGATTAAATAAAACTGTCCAAGGTATGAGGCTATAGTCATAAGTTTAGCTTTATCCAGTATCTGTGTAGAAATATACATGTAAAGTTTACCCCTGTTGTCTGCAGCACTGAATATTTTTACTAAAATAATGCAGTGAGCGATTCAAGCTTAATGTTTCTTTTTGTCAGGACCAACCACTGAGAGACCCACGGAAATGGCAACACAGAGTAAGTTTCAAGGAAAAGGGATCTTTTTCCTAATGTTTAAAAAACAATTTTTTTTTTTGCAGTAGAAATGGGGCCTTTTTGGCGATAAAAAGCAGGTTTACTAAAGTACAATCATGTAATTTGCTTATAGTCATTTGATTGTTTCCAAATATTTGGAAAATCACGACGTTGCATGTCCGGCTAACGTACAACAAACGTCGCTTGCAACACAATAAATCATGACACAAGCAGTACACTAAACAGCCCATTCATGCCCTGCACTTATGTCTGCAGCACGTGTAATTGTAAGTACAAATTGTGTCTCTATGTCATTCTCTGTTTATACTCGTGTTGATTCAGTTTTCCTTATTTCGTAATATAGACTGTCAAAATGGAGGGTACTATGATTATTATAACGGTAGATGTCGCTGTCAAGCAGGCACGTGGGGCTATTATTGCCAATATGGCAGTGGTGAGTAGTATTTGTTTAAATGTACATGGAATTATTTTATCATAATGTGTAACCCTATCATCTCGTTTCTTCCAGTATTATTGTACATTAATTGATGTTCA